TCAAATAATCTATGCCAAAATATTCAGCAACTCTTCTGCTATCTAGTGGTATAACTCCAGCATCCAGATAGGAACAAAACTAACCTCGCTATGATTTTCTAAACTTTATGTGTTTAGCGCTTGCGCAACACTACAAGTGGAAGTAGATTCGCGCGGAAATTTTCATTCAAATTTAAATTGCAATTGTGTTGACATATTGATGCTAAAAGGTTCGTTTATATAATAAAATGAAAGTTTAGAATGTCATCTTTCGAACGGTATAAAAATTATCCACTTTAAATATAATTTTCAATTAGTTTTTTGCGTTAGAAAATGTTTGGACATAATTCTAAGGGTGCACGGTGAAATGGTCCCGCCGGGACCATTGGCCACTGCTAGGGTTAATTTCATTCTCCACAAATCAATCAATACTAATTATTTGAATCTTGGACTTTAAGTACGTTTTATTTTATAAGAATCACCTATCTGCCGGAGCGCGCTTCGATAAGGATGACTGATGCCATAAGATTCCAAAAAGGTAAAAGAAGTGTCACAGACTTTAAAAACAAGTTGAATTCCCGAAGAAAACTAAAAAAAGCCCATAAACAAATGGATAGCTATGAGACTTATGATGAGGTTGCAAAGAATGAGTTGTAACGTAACCAAAAATAATTCTTATCCAGCCCACCAATCGGCATCATTCACGTACACCATAAACAAATTAAACAAGTCCTCAAAACTTTCTTTTCCAGCTCTCTCCTTGCCATCCATACCAGTAGCCATGTCTTGTCCTGCCCCAGACCAGAAATCCGGCTTAATTTTGGCTCTAAGAGATGGCAGGGCATATTTTTTTTGACCAGAGGGGAGGTCGTTGTACAGCTTAGGGTCGAAGTACGAGAAGCTTCTCCTACCAAACTCACTCTTTTTAAAGTGAAGCTGGAGACCTCCACGGCAGGTACTGCGCTGAGAAAACTCCTCCCGGAAAGAGAGCCTCTCAAGAAGGTACTGTGGCTCCTGTAGGACAAGGACTGTGGCCCACTTTAGGACCATTCAGCGGTATCTTACGGAAAATAAGATACCCTACCATACATTTGCCTTGTCAACGGAGAGACTGCTGAAGTTGGTCTGCAAGCGCCTGCCATCCACGCTCCTCGCTACCAAAGTCAGGAGTGAGTTCGAGCATCTTGGCTATGCAGTCGTCGAGATGAAGCTGCTGAAGACACGAGGGGGCCGGAACACAAACCTCTGGCTGGTCACCCTGCGGAAGACGGACGGAGCCAGGGCCTTCGGACGTGTACAACCTTGACAGGATGCTCTACTGCAAGGTGGAGGTCAGGAGGTACACCAGATCAAAGGGGCCCATCCAGTGTCACCACTGCCAGGGATTCGGTCAACTGCCATCGGGAGCTGTGCTGCGTCCGGTGTGCTGACTCCCACACAGGGACTCTTTGCCCCAAAGCCTCCACGGACCCTGCTAAGTGTTGCAACTGCGGAGGCAGCCACTCTGCCAAATACAGAGGCCTTCAAAAAAGAGAGGCAGCTAAGCTACGCTGCAGCAGCCGCCAGAACTCCAGCCCGGAAGCCAGCCTCAATCGCCCCGACGCAGAAACCAGTCGCAGACTCTCCAGCCAGCCCGCCTGACCAAGCCTCTGACGGAGTAGTCCAGTCCAGCCCAGACAACGAAAGCCACACCAAAGCTAGAGGTCGTCACAACAGGCAACCCAGGAATGCGGCCAACCGAGGGGGACATAGCCCTTCTGCCTCCAGGAGTTGTTCTACTTTCAACATTAGGCAAATTTATTTCTCAATCGCACTTAAAAAGGTCTGTTGCTGACAAACCTGCATTAAGGTGTATAAATTTGGTAGCCATCAGTGGTTGTAGTCTCTTTTTTGTCATCTAGATGAAACATAAAGCTGTGCAGAACTCAAGTTGTTCTGCGGATGGCACTCTAGACATCGAGCTCGAAACATTGTTGGAAAAAGTGTGATTTGTCAAGTTCAACACCACGTTGTCACCAGTTTACCACGATTCTAGAATATAACTGACTGTGGAAGCCTAACCAGACAAGAACATATATAATATTTAAATCTAATAACATAAGTTTAAGTGGTAAATTAATATAACGATGTTATCCAAGTGCTGTGATTGTTTTTTTCAGACTCTTTCGACAGATGCATGAAGGATGCAATACGTCTAAATCACGGTAAAAAAACACTCACTGCCTCAGAAAGTGAGTTAAGGGGTCGTGGTTTGAGGGTTAAAAGACCTCGACATCTCGATGGAATTTCTGACTCTCAAAGTGATAGCCTACCCTCACCCCAAAAATTGCTTAAACTTTCTTCATCAAAACAATCTGTGAGGTCATCCCCAAGAAAAGCAGCAGAAAGGCAAGCTTTGCAATTTCCCGAAGAGTTGACAACTTCAAGAAAAGCAGCAGAAAGGCACGCTCTGCAATTTCCCGAAGAGTTGACAACTTCAAGAAAAGCAGCAGAAAGGCAAGCTCTGCAATTTCCCGAAGAGTTGACAGCTTCAAGAATAGCAGCAGAAAGGCAAGCTCTGCAATTTCCCGAAGAGTTGACAGCTTCAAGAAAAGCAGCAGAAAGGCAAGCTCTGCAATTTCCCGATGAGTTGACAGCTACATCTTCTTTCCAGAGAACACCGGAAAAAGAACGACAAAAAAAAAACTACAAAGGCGAAAAGATGCTCAATCAAGAAAAAACACTTTTGCGTTTTTGAAGAAACGCCCACATTGGAAACCATCAGCCATGGCATATGTGTACTCTCAAGTAAGAGTTTTCAAAACCTTCTTTTAACCTAATATAATAGTCTGTTAAAACAATAAATCAATAAATATCAGATATTGATTGAATGTAGTACACAGTGTAATTCTACGTTTATTTGAACATTCGCTAAGAAGCGTGGTATGATGGTGGGAATAGGGGTTTAAGTTGGGTAGTCTATTCGGTAAAATTTTTTTTCCCTTAAAAAAAAATTTGTCATAAACTACTTTGTTGCGCCAAGAAACATAAGTTATCTATCTATCTATCTATATATTATATATATATAAAATACGCTAAGCCGATTTTTGTGAACAGAACTCCTCCCTCATTTTTGGACAGATTTTGATGATTAAAGTGTCAAAAAAATTGCCCTGATCTGTAGTTTTGCAAAGTGTTTTTAGTTTTTTGATATCTTTATTAGTTTGGGCAGGATCTTCCATCAAAGTTGGATTTTCTCCCATAAGATTAACATGGGGGAATCTAAATATTTAATTGGAAACTTTGTCTCCACTAATTTGAGAGAACGGCTGGGCATAGAAACTTGGTAAAGGTGTCCAAAGAAAGGTCTTGGTCTGTAGATGAGTTATCAAAAGAAAAACGAAGTAAATTCGCTTAGGGCTCTGCCCCAAAAGCCTTTAAAGATCCCTCCACAGATTTGTTTACATTTTGGCCATGTGGATAATACTTTTTATTGAAACAGCTGTTAATTTTAAAATTGTATTTTAAACAACACACATCTATTGGAAGTTACTAAATAGTCCAAAAGAAGTATTTGCAACGTTATTTTCTGATTTTAAAATGTGTCTGCATTTTTTACCACTTTTGCCTAGCATTTTTTACCACTTTTGCCTAAGGCCGCTGTACACGAGGACAATAGTGGCGTCCAATAGCAGTGGACACTAATGGCCGCCAGTGAATTTCCATCTATTGTCCTCGTGTACAGGAGTACTGGACGCTTCAACGTCCAATACGTAGTGGCAGCCAGTAAAGTCAAACAGGTTTGCTTTTAGTGGACGTTGAGGGGCCAGTAGACGGTCACGTGACCTAGTGGCGGCCATTACTGGACGTGTCTTTTAAGGTAGTGGCCGCCAGTAGCTAACTGGACTCTGTGGAGAAAGGTTGTTTGTGTGTGCTCAAAGTTTCTTTATAGTGTACATTTCATGTGCGTTCAGTAGTTTTTGACGGTTTATTTGTACTGACGATTATAAATTTGTGAATTTGAAGACATGTCCTGTTCCAAGTCATAGAAATCCGAAGAGGGAACGTCACAGAAAACTGAAGAAGGGAAGAAAAAAACATGTATCAAGTGGAACCAAGACCATATAATGAAATTTCTTGACATTTACGTTAACTATGAGCTCTTGTGGAACACAAGGCACTCTGATTATGCTAATAAGGCAAAAAGAGAAAGTGAAATGTTGAAGTTAATGGTTGATTTAACAGACGAAGGTGTACCCGTACCAGATATAGCTTTCTTAAGAGCCCGTATAAAAGCTATAAAGAGCACATACAAACCAGAACTGTTGAAGGTGTGCGAGTCCAAAAAAGTGGTAAAGGTACAGACGATTTATACGTACCAAAGTTGCCTTGGTTTTCCACAGCAGACAGTTTCATGAGAGATGTTTCAGTTACGAGAAAATCCACATCTAATTTGGTAAGTTTTAATTTTTAGATCTCATTTGAACTCTTTTACTAATGTAAGTTGATAAAATCTTTCAAATATACTTTATTTTAATAAAATAAAATATATGGCATTGATTAATAAATTAATATTAGTGCAAATTAAAAATATAAAAATCAATTTATAATTTAATTCATTTGCAAATAAATTATATTTTTATGATTATAATAAGGTAAATATATTAATATAAATATATTAATATAAATATATTAATATATTTACCTTATTTAAGTACTGTAATAAAGATACAAAATTAAAAATATATACACTAAGCAGTATTTAAAAATACACATACCCTTTACTTTTTAATTTTTTATCTTTATTACAGTACTTAAATAAGGTAAATATATTGATAAAGTAATAAGCAATCAAATGAAATGCAGGCAAATTAAATAACAGTAGTTTTATTACTTAATACACCTTTATTAAAAGTTACGTTAAATATATACAAAATACTGCCATTAATCCTGGATATTTTTTAAATAACGTTATTACAATGTGCAATACTCTTATTGCAATATATGACAGTTTCACGTTTGTGTGCCCATTGAAAGCTCCTTCACATGCCAATAGCTTTCAGTTGCCAAGAAACTTGCCCTTCTGCACTGAAGTAATCGGCCAATTTTTTTCTTATATCCGAAGCTCTCTTTGAATACGAGTTTGTTTTCCGACCTCCTGTTATTGAAGGAAGCTCGACTCCTATTGTCCGCCACTGACCAGGGTGACAGATTCCTGTCTCTATGTCTTCGTAGTCGACCCAACCTCTTTCAAAGTATGTTCCAGGTGATGTTGTCCGTAGCCAGTTATGGATAGTACACGCACATTTTACGATTAGATCTACAGTGGGTAAATCGACTTCAATCTCCTTTCCAAAGATTCGAAATCTTGCAGCCAAAATGCCAAAGGCATTCTCGACTACTCTGCGTGCTCTCGACAAGCGGTAGTTAAAGATACGTTCCTTTAAATCTAGGTTTCTTCTTGAAAATGGCTTCATCATGTTTGGAGACAAGGGAAAGGCGTCATCAGCCACAATAATGTAATCATTTGGAAAATCTAACTGATTGTTGTCCATCGCTGACTTCAGAGTAGATAATCTGAAAACATTACCGTCATTGGCTCTTCCATTGCTTCCCACATCGATGTACATAAATTTGCAGTCAGCGTCAACCAGTGCCAAAAGAATTACACTATAACCTCCTTTATAGTTAAAAAATTCAGAACAACTTCCCGGTGGACGTTTAATGGCAACATGTTTACCATCAATGGCACCACAACATGAAGGGAAATTCCATTTAGTTTCAAAGTTTTTCTGAATCTTGACCCACTCCTCCTGAGTTTGTGGAACCTAAAATAGAAAACTTTGCTTAATATTGTACTTAAAAAAAAATTAATAATAATAACATGTCCAAATATACAGAAACAGAAAAAATCTAAATATAAACATACTTTCACTAACTCTATAGCATGAACTGAAGTAGCGTGTCCAAAGTTAAACTCTCTAAACTTAGATTGTCAACAATACACTTGCTAACGCCATCTTTAAATTCCAGGCTATAGAAGAACCAGGCACTCCCTCTAATACAAGTGTTGTTGAAGAAAATTTTGACGATGACCTTACGGAATTGGATCAAGATGGTAATGACAAAACGGTTCAAGAAATCCCCACCGAAAACACAGAAACGAACTTCGTTCCTCCACTACCGAAAAAAAGGCGCATGACCAAGCTAGCGAAAGTCGAACATGCAATAGCGAAGTTACAGCAAATTACTGACAAGACCCGGCCTTCATCCACTTCATCAGTGGAGATCGACGAGATGGCTGCCTTTGGAAACAATATAGCAGCTCAACTACGTACTCTACCAACCAAAAATCGTCTAACTTTACAAGACAAGATACAATCTTTAATAACAACAGAACGGTTGAAGTTAGTTGAGTCTCCTCAAGCGTCTCCATTGATGGGTTACAGCTCTTCATCATATGGGGTTGACTCAGACTGTGATGACTTTTCACTTGATGGAAATTGTGTTTATAGAAACCTCCAGTAAAGACTTAAGTATTATCCTGTGTCATGTTTGTTATAATTTTTAATTGTAATTGATACAACTAAAAAAACAAGTGTCGATTTCTTTATTCTCAATTACAAATTTGTAAAAGATATTTCTTTGCTAATAAATCTAAAACACAAATTATTTTTTTAAGAGCAACCTAAAAATATTGGTCTTACATTGGTCCGTAACATTTGCCTCAAACTGTACAACGACCATCGTTCAAGGGTTACCGCACCAGTCACACCATTGACAACGGGCCCTTTTTAAAACTAAACCTAATGTACTATTCGTGCCAAATGTGACAGTTTAGTCCATCCATAAAGCCAATATGAAATTAAACTTGGTCTTATAGGCAGACTTGAAAGTCACATTTGGCACTAACTGTTGTTTCTTTACTGCAAAATATATAGCTTACAAAACTCAAAAATTACCCAGCTTACCTTCATGTAATCACTAAGTGCAGTTGTAATAGCTTCTAGCACTTCTGGCATAAATCTTGAAATCGTGCAAGCCGGAATACGGAACAGTAATGAAATAGACTGGTAACTGTCACTAGCAGCCAAATACCTTAAAGCAACTTCCAGCTTTGCTCTTGCAGGAATAGCATTTCTCATGACCGTATCAGTTTTTTAAATCTTAGGTTCGATTAAAGATAACAGTTCATTAAACTGATTCACACTCATTCTCAGGTGTTTCTTGAATTCTAGAGGATCCTCTTCAGAGAGCTCATGCATAATAGTAGCTGAAGCTCCAAGTGTCTCTCTTCGGGATACCCATTCCTTCACCCAGCATGTTCTACTTTCATTCAATATTTCTTGCAGTTCTTCACTCAAACACACCACCACTTCCCTAACGGCATCATTAACGGCTTCCTGATACTCTTTTTCACTTTCTATCATGTTAAATACAGTCGTCACTCCTTTTTTGTCAAACACCGCAGATCAACTGGCGTCCACTTTTATGCCAGTTAGTGGAAGCTACTAATGGCCCCGTGTAATGGTGTTCTGACCGTCAAACATACTGATATTCTAGTGGCCGCCATTACTGTCCGCCACTACTGTCCTCGTGTACAGCGGCCTTATATCATTCAAGACAGATCATTATAGGTTCGTGAGATTATTGTCATAAGCCCCCTGCAGACGGGGACAGTAGTGGCGTCCAGTAGACCTAGCCATTAATGGCGGCCAGTAATTGTCCGCCTACTGTCTACGTGTGATGAGGTACTGGACGCTTCAACGACTGGCCGCCAGTAAAAACAAAATAGTTTGAGTTTACTGGCCGCTCAGAGGACAGTAGTGTGGTCACGTGACCTACTGACAGCCATTTTTCCTAACCTTAAATGTTATAGTCGCAATTAGAGCACTGAGGAAACTGTTGTCGATCCGTGATTTCCATAACGAAATGTACAATCTAGGCCTATTAGTAAGTTGGCAACCTATAACTTATAGACGCTGGACATTCATTTAACTTACTATCAGACATGAAACTTGAAATTGTGTTTGCTGGAACTCGAAAAAATATTGCGAGTGATTGATAGGAATCGCCATTGGCTAATAAAAATCGGACTATGGGAACGGGGGTTTATGGTGGGTATTTTATGGGGTAAAAATAGGGTTTTCCCATTTTTGACCCTAAAAACAAAAATTTCACAATTTCTTTCCAAACCATTTTGTATAGCATTTTATATAGCTCTGCTGTGGCCTGAAGGAAAAGACATTTCACCAGCGAAACTTAAAGATTTAAAATCCCTAATGGTGTTCATCCCTTCAGACGCAAAAGCCTTCTACAGAGGGTTTTCTTCTTCGAGTAATGTAGAAGATGACATTGAAGGTTTTAATGCCGAATTAGATTTCGAAGTGGAGTTTGAGTAGGGTACCAGTTTTAACTTTCAACAATTCATTTTATTTTTTATGTTTCTATGGTAACTGTAATAATGTGTTATTCATCAGTTCTCAAAAATGTTGTCAAATAAAACCGTTTTAAGAGTGCTAGCATTTAAAACTTTTTTTTAAATTGTATAAATTATTATATAAGGTATAAAACACTAATTTTAGACCTAATATAAGTAAAATACATTAATAACGGTTCGAGGTTCTATTATGCATAGTATGAAAAGTTACCAAAGCAAAATAGCATAAAAGAACGCCATTTTGGCCAATAAACAAAGTAAAGGGATCCATAACTCATAATATACACATTATTTAACCTCAAAAGTTATATGTCAATATAGTTTAGTCAAACTTTTACAGTTAAACTTTTACAGTCAAACTTTATACAGTGCTCAGAATTTAGTAGGCAAACTCAAACTTGGACTCTAAAATCTCAACTCAAGAAACACGGCGCTTGGTTCCTTTATGCTGTGACGGCCTGGCATATTTGCCTCATTTGGTTGTAATTTGTTAACTTTGAGCTTAAGCTGATTGGCCTTACTCCCTAAACCTGGCCCGCTGGCTATCACCGAATATTTGCTAGGTTGATGTGTCAACCGTATTTAGCAATATTGAATTTTATTTAACTTCACATAAGTCTCCAAGTGAACCTTAAAACTCATATTCCAATTCATTTCATTACTTTGTAACCCTACAATAATCCTAACCAGACGTCGTGGCCTGGCCGGATATGCCTTGGAATGTGCTGAATCTGCATGCACGTGTGCCGCGATAAACAATGTTACACTTCTAGACTCGGTTCCTCGCTTCAGTTAGTTTCATTAATGACAGTTGTAATCGTTTGGCTGCAGCACCTGTCAAGCAACTGTCCACGCGTTGAATTATGGGCTGAGCGCTCAGCGTGCGCTGATTGGCTGACGATGGTCATGTGACCACGCTGACGCTTCCGCTTGGGCGATGCTGAAGCTTTAGATCGCGCCGGAATGTAGCGAATGACGGTAAGGTCCGCCGCGCGCGGTCTCGCGCCCTTTCTTTCTCTTACTCTTTCTATGAGTCCGTGTACGTTCTAAATTCAGTGTTAAAATCATTTAATATTCTGTTAGTCGCGAGTACAAAGTGTTAGTTGTATTTTCTTGTATCATCGTGTTTGTAGTTATGTAAAGTCATTATTCATTATTCGATAATTAATAAAATTAGTTGATCCCTATTCGCTTGTTTTAATGTTCGTTCTTCCTGCTCCCAACCGCTACGAAGACTAAAGAGGGCCGCTGTGACATCTGGTGTCAGCTGGTGGGGTTGACTGCGACAATGTCAACCTAAAGGTAAGTGGAATTAGGGATTTGCTTGATCAAATTATTTTACTCATAATAATGTTCAAAATTTAAAGTTTGGCTGTTTCTGGAATAAAATATGTTTAAATCGATTAAAAGTAAAATAAGAATCATTTTCGTGAAATTTTCGTGAAGAAAGAGCTATTTTTCGATTTATTAGGTAATTTTGAAGTAAATAGAATATTTTGTTCGTAAACTTATTTCGCCATTGTACACGTGATCTAGGATGCATTGGGTCTCTTCCCCCTCCCACTCCCACAGTGTTGCACTCTGCTGTTGTCTTGTCAGAGCTGTCGTGCGTTGTATGTTGCGTTGTGAATGAAGACGCCATATTGGAATATTTTGTTTGGTTGTTGGTGAACAATTGGTAATAGATACTTGATTAAAAGCTGCTAGTATAAGGAGTAAGAAAGAAAGGGAATAAAGAAATAATTATTGTGGGAGGATGGGAAGCAAAATTTCGGAAATTAAAATGTATTTGAACTTGCAAAATTAAAAGTGGATGCGTTCTGCGTGAGCTCAAGATGGCCGCCGGGTTGGCTTGCTGTCAGGCTGTCAGTTCCATCCGCGGGATTTTATCCCGGATAAGGGAATTTTTATAGCTTGAGTGGGATAAATGGGGGATTATTTTTAATCGTTGTGGGGAAATACCGCTTGTCGTTTAAGTGATTGAAAAACGGAATTACGTTGTTGACGTGAATATTATGAATCATTAATGGAATATTATGGTGTTAGGCCTACTGTTGGTAAATAATTAGCCGGAGAAAATGGGAGAAAAACAAATCGTTGTGAAACATTTGAGATTGGCTTACTAACATGCATTTAGGCTAGTGGTAATTTACTAACCTAGGCTTAGTCTGTGGTTAAGTTAAGTGGATTGAACTTGAAAGTGAGTTGGATGGTAAAGCCTGGGCGTTAATGGAAGAGCTAATAACCAGAATTGATTGTAAATTAATTAGACTTAATGGAGTTAAAATGTTTGAAAATTTTTAATTTATTGGTAAAAGTTGTGTACTGAAAGTTTGTTTTTGCTCAATGTATTGGCAGCATTACTGGCTTACTCCATTGATCTGGTCAAAGGGCCCAACTCACTTGACAGTTCTGATAGCTTTAAGTATTATAAAAATAAGAACTGGATTTTGTACTTTATTATAATTGGACTTAGAAAATTTCCTGGAATCTTACCAGTGATATTGTGTAATCGTAAAATAATTTGGGGAAATAAATTATTTGATGTAGGCCTGCACTATCTATTGATTAGGGAAATACGGACTAATGATAATCTTTGGAAATTTTTGTTTAATTACTTTGAAAAACTGAGAAGGGTAAAGCGAGAATTAATTGTTTTTATGTGATGCGTCGATGAGAGATGATGCCTGGTTTCCATTATTTAGTCCTTGACTGAGTAGGCAATGGGGTCATGCGTTTTGTATTTTGTTTTTTTAATTACTGAGTTAAAAGTTGTACCTGGAAAAGTGTTGTCATTGGCGGGATTTTTGTCCCCGTATCGGGATTTTCCCAGCATTGGGATTTTTTCAAACTGTGGCAGGGATGAAACGGGTTTTATCCCTCCATAGGGATTTGTTTTGATTTTTGTGGGATAAAGGGAATTTTTTTTTTTTATGGAATGGGGATTTTTACTGACTTAGGTGGGGATTTAATTAGGGATTTTTATTTTTGTTTTTAGATTGTGAATTGAATGCTGAATATTCGAAAGTGAAACTGGGGCTAAAGCTATTTATTTGTGTAAATTCTTATTAATTTGTGGATAGTTTATTTATTTATTTTTTTTTTATATAGCTTGCGTTTATTTTTAATTTGGGTCAGGCTAATTTATGTCCGTTGCGACTTCACACTTGTTTTGTTTTGTTGGAGCCGGTGTCGCGACTCACCCCGACCCCCCGACCTCCCTTGTCCTCTGGTGGAACTTGGGTCTCATTGAACTCCCCGTAGTTGTTCTTTTCTCAGGTTCCATGGGCGCTTGGTGGTGCGTCTGTTCCGTGTCCATATTTCTCTTCTTTTCTCAAACACTCGTCCATGATCATAAGAAGTTGGTTGAGTTCCACGTTCTGATCAGAGAACTGTTTGTCCATAGTGTTTTCCTTTCTTTTCTAGATGGTGTTGATAATACGCTGACGAGGTACAGAAAATCTCACTCCGAGTCTTTTCCCAGGTGGTGCGTTGGTGTAAGGAGCGTAGCGATGCGATGGTGAATTCGCATTCTTCCTCTCTTACGCGAGGTGTTCTCTTTCTTTGTCCAGGTGGTGCGTTGGTGTAAGGAGCGTAGCGATGCGATGGTGAATTCGCATTCTTCCTCTCTTACGCGAGGTGTTCTCTTTCTTTGTCCAGGTGGTGCGTTGGTGTAAGGAGCGTAGCGATGTGTGCCGATTTTAA